GGAGGCAGAGGCAGGCAGATTTCTGAGTTCGAGGCCAGCCTGGTCAGTGAGTTCCAGGACAGCCAGGGCTACACAGAGAAACCCTGTCTCAGAAACACCCTCCCCCAAAAAAAAAGAAAAGAAAGAAAGAAAGAAAGAAAGAAAGAAAGAAAGAAAGAAAGAGAGAAAGAAAAGGAAAAGGAAAAAAAAACCTTGGGGAAGGGTTTTCCAGAGCCAGCCCCGCCTCCACCCCACCCCCCAGAAGCTGCATTGAGTCCTCCAGAACAGAGGGGGCTCCAGAGAGTGAACCAGCCTGAAAGTAAGTCAAAAGTCTAAGAGAAGAGACCACAGAGAAATAGGCCACCCACTTAGTCCCCTGTGGGTGTGTGAGCCCCTGGAAGTAGCGATCCCTGAATTCCAATTGCCTTTGGACCCTTCAATTAGGCAAAGCTTTTGTAATCTTCCTTGCTTGATTTTTAAGCCTATTATAATTGGGCTTTTCCTTTAATCAGCAGAACTCTGGCTAAGACAGGCTGAGAAACTCATGGAACGTAATCATGCAATTTCTCTGTTTAAATCATGGAAATCTTCCCCAACACTTCTTATGAGCTCAATAATCCCCTGGGGGGGGGCACGGAGGCAGATGACACCCTGGAGAGTGATCAAGGGACAAAAAGATAAAAGATGCCACTAGCAAATGACCTCCCCACCCCACCCCCCAGTTTCCTTCTGTGAATTGACCCAAAGCATCAAGTCCTTGCTTAGTGTAATGCAGGTGTGCCTGTTATCATGTGCCGAGCCAGGTGCCTGTGAGACACAGATCCAGCTTTGTCCCTTTTCCCTTCCCTTCCTCTGTGACCCCTGGGTGGAAGCACCCTGTGACCCCAGCCTCTGCTGAGTTTGAGGGAGACGACGGTCTGTCCTCTTCCTAGTAGTGACAGGTGTGTCTGTAAAAAGATGCTTGGGCTCTGCACCCAGGCAGGCCCAGGGTTGGTCACCCCGTCACCTGCTCCCGACAGAAACTTCTTTCTTTCCTCCTTTCTGTGGAATGGCTTTATTGCTCTACCAACTGATGACATATCCTCTCAGAACCCTGAAGAAAATGAAAATATAAATTCCCCTCTCTTTGAGGCAGGGTCTCACTATGTAGACCAGGCTAGCCTGGAACTCACAGGGATCTTCCTGCCTCTGAGTCCCTCTTGCGGGAAGTAAAAGGCTCATGCCACCACTCCCTGCAGCCTCCCACACCTCCTTACATGAGACCCAAAGCCACCCATCAAGAGAGTCCCATACCACATCTCATCCACCAGACCTGACTCATTTGCCCACAGGTCAGTCACTCCAATGACAAGTGAGAAAGCTGGGTTTGGCATCAACCAGTCTCTGTTTGCTGGTGTGAGAGGGTTCTCCCAAGATTGGAGCAAAGCTGGGATTGATTTGAAAAGCGGGAAGGCTGGAGTCTGCACCAGCCATTAACCATCTGACTGTGACCTAGGGGCCCCCGTGAGTCTCAGCACAGATGAGCAATGTGCTTGCAGATGGTCAGGGAAGACCCATCGGCTCTGCACCCTTCCCCAGGATTGCGTGCTGCTAACTGAGAGGCTCAGGTCTCCCCAGCACCCTGCTCTGACATCCTGGAATAAGAATTTCCCCCTAAGGACATCAAGTCCCCCCTCATCTTCTTTATTTTGTGCTAGGTGACACCAAGAGCTGTCACCAGGACTACATATTTATCAATGAGGAAACTGGGCCACCGAGAGAGCAGGGGTTAGCCCAGCATTTGGAACATGTGGCAGATAGGGACAGGAGCAGGGTCACCTGGGCTCCAGGTCTCTTGGTGATATCTTAGTCACCATGTTCACTGATGCTTACATGGCCCGACGGCCATTCACTGAGGCCAGACTGGATCCTGTGGGGCAGAATCTGGGTGACTTCCATCTTCTGACCCAAGTTCCCAGGCTCCTCGTCCAGCTCTCTTGGTCAACACTGATCTTGTGGGTCCCTGGGCAGCACTCATACTACAACACAGAACGCGCTGCTGGGGAGGAGGGACCACACCATCTCCATCTTCTCCCTCCATGTGCTGATCTGACTACACAGGCTCTGTCATGTCACCCCCACAAAGACTCCACAAAAGCTGAAGCAAGGTCAAAGGCAGGAGGAGGGGCAGGCCCTGATTGCCTGACACTCTTAAGTGGCTTCTTATTCACAGGGACACAGATCAGGACCTGGCACCCGCAGACAGGCTCATACATCACCTGTTCCTTCGCAAGCAGTGCCGAGCAACGGTTCTCCCGATGCAGTTGATGCAGGAGGGAGAGGATGTCTGTGAATCTGAAATCGTGCTGTTTACCTGCCAGGGACCTTGAACTTGAGAGTGTCCTTCCTCAGAGTGGGGCAGGTGGCCAGCAAGGCAGGAACGCTGTCAAGTCACACACGGGCCTCAAGAGAGCGAGCTGGGGACGGGAAGGGGGCCATGCCAAGCTGAGAGGCCTTTCAGGGCTTCAGAGACACCTAGAAAAAAGGTGTCAACAATACAGATCCAGAAGTGACAGAAAGAAAGAGCCACACTGGGGACAGAAGTCATTAGCAGGGGCAACGGGCAAGCTTGGCAGGAGGGAAGTCCGTCCTGACAGGGAACAGTGTGTTTTATTCTTTCTCGGGAGCCATAATTTTCAGATGATGCTTCAGGATGGATCCTTCGAGGACGACGGATGACCTGAGGAGGCTCAGGTGATAGTTCCTCCTTGGGTAGGAGGAGGGAGGCAGCAGACGACAGTCCTTCTCTTCGGAGCAGAAAAGCGTTGCCCAGAGACAACATCACTGAGTTTGTAAGAACGAAGGATTTGGGAAATAGATGTGGCTCATCTTCTTCACAAATAAAATTTAATTAAGAGAATCTTCAGCAGGTCTTGCCGTGCAGCCCAGGGAAGGTGACAGGCTGAGGAATGAGCCTCCTTGAAATGCGGCCACCATGCGCTGCCCCTTAATTATTCATGGGCATCCTGTGCAGTTACACATACTTTTAGTTAACTTGTCACTTTAAAAAAAAATGTTCAGCTAATGTGTCTACTTTGCTCTTACATTTTATGCTTGTATGTTCACACACACACATGTGAGACCACGTACTGGTACACATATAGAGGTCAGAGGACAGTCTTCAGAAGTCAGGTCTCTCCTTCCACAACGCAGTCCCAGAGTTCCAACTCAAGTCTCCAGGTTTGGTAGTGAACACCATGCCCCACTGAGCAATCCCCCAGACTTAGCACATCTTTCCGCCCTCATGGGCTACTTGTGTTATTTAATGATGTAGTGACTGTGTTTTTCTGTAATATGCAAAGACCTCTTAGGAACCGAGGAGAGAGGAGACTGAGGACCCAAGACAGAGAGCTCTCAGAAGAACACATTCTTGCTTCCCATTCTGGACATCCCCCAACTAGATGTAAAAATGCAAAGTAGGCCAGATCAAGAAACAAAAGTAACTCCAATTCTTTCTTTCTTGGGACAGTGTATCATGCAGTCCAGGCTGGCCTTGAGCTCCCTACATTCATGTAAACACACACACACAGACACACACATGAACACAGATGTACACATGTGTCCAGAAAGGACACATGACTCACTGTGCTGCACTGAACACATGGTGTCTTAGCTAGGGTTTCCACTGCTGTGAACAGACACCATGACCTAGGCAACTCTTATAAGGGACTACACTTAATCGGGGCGGGCTTACAGTTTCAGAGGTTTAGTGCATTATCTTCATGATTGGAAGTATGGCAGTGTACAGGCAGGCACGGTGCTGGAGGAGCCAGGAGTTCTACATCTTGATCCAAAGGCAACCAGAAAGAAACTACAATCCAAAAGCAGCTAGAGGAGGCTCTCTTCCACACCAGGAGGAGTCTAAGCATAGGAGACTTCCAAGTCCACCCTCACAGTGATGCACTTCCTCCAACAAGGCCACACCTCCTAGTGGTGCCACTCCCCATGGGCCAAGCAAGTTCAAATCACCATACATGGCCTGAGAACTTGGGAAAACCAAACTGAAAACAGAGCTGAAGCATGCTGAAGAGACAGCACTGTAGCAGACCATGGGCTGACTGGGAGCCAGGCCTTTCCTAACAGGAGGAAACTCAGCCAGTTACTACAGCTAGTGCTGACAAGAGGAACTGGTCTTCGGTTTACTGTATTTTCAAACTCCGGGGGATAATATATAGATAGCTTTGAAGAACTAGGGGCTTGCTCTTACTCAGATAGAAAGTATATAGGAAAAAGAATGGGAAGGGGAGCTTGTCCTTAATTCTCAGAAACAATTTCGCCGACAAAGGATTTGCTTTGCCTTCCGGTTTCAGAGGTTTGAGTTCATTGGTGGGAGGGGCATGATGAAAGACAGCAGCTCACGTCATGGTAGCCATGGAGGAGAGGGGTGAAGAGAGGCAGAGAAGGGGTAAGGAGGAGGAGTAAGGGGGAGGTAGAGAGAGAAGGGAAGGAGAAAAGGGAAGAGGTAGGAATGGAGAAAGGGGAGGGAAGAGGGGAGAAGGGGAGGAGAGAGGGAGGGAGAATAAGCCCCTGTTCACAGATTCCCTCCATTCTTTCTTTTATCCCGACCTCCATCCCGCCCTGGCCATAGAGATTCTCACGTCCATATCAAGAATAGGTCTTCCTACTCCGTTACACCTCTCTGGAAGCACCCTCATAGATGCGCCTTTCTGTCCAGGGTCTCTAACATGATTTTAAAAAGGCATATCTCTATAGAAATCAACAAAATAAAAGTTAGCTCAAGAAGAACAAGAGACTGGATTTGAGTGTTTTCTTTGCAAATAATCCTGTATTGAAAAAAAAAGTCGCCTCATGCACACCTGCCGCCTGGGCTCTGCAGGGCTTTGAGTCAGGACCTGGCTCCCTCTGGCCCTGGGGCAGACTCCAGCCCCCCAGCCTCCCGCCTCCTTGCCCTAGCTCCCTGCAGCCAGAACAGGGTTCCTGTGGCCCCTCCATTCACAGGGACGTCCAGCTCACATTTTCCAAATGACATCATCCCTGCGGGAGCCAAGTCTCTATTTGAAGCAATTTTCTTTGGCTCTTTGTTTTTTTTTTTTTTTTTTTCTTCTTCTTCTTCTTCTTAGACCCAGGAAGCAATGATTGCTTCCCACCATGTTAGCACCAAGTTGCCCCTTTCTGAGGAGAGACGTGCGCGCTGCCTTAATTGCGTGGTTGCTATTGAAACACAGAGTGAGAGACAAAGCCCTTCATTTGGGAGGAAAATTAATTGTACACAAACAAGAACACATTTCATCAGGAATTAGATTCTTCAACACTCCCCTGGCGGAGAACTTTATGGCTGCTTCCTTTCTGTCTGACGCTCAGCTTTCTCCCCTTCTTCTCTGGGAGACTTTCTTGGCAAACCAGGATGCAGGTCCCCCAAGGTCCCTTTACAGTTCCTTCCCTGACACTGAGGCTGCCAATGCTCCAGCCCACCTCGAGCTGTGACCCTGTCAGCAGACAGTCCCTTCTTCTCAGCCTCTGAGGAGTGACAGCCCCTCAGTCCCCGGGGCCTCTGCTCCTCCCCAGCCCCCAGATTCAAAGGTAAAGGAAAGATTAAACGTGATGAATCACAGGACAGGGGAGGTAAAGTAAGGGGAAAGCTGGCCTCCACTGCAAATGCGAGATTTATTGCTGAGCGCCGCAAGTAATGAAACCATCCATCTCCCACTGGCTGGAAACGGAACCCAACGCAAGTCTGAAAAGGGAAGAGAGAAAATCGGCCTTGTCGGAGCAGTTGATGGCCAGGATGCTCTGTGATTTCACCATCCTGGACTGCCCTGGGACTGCCCTGGGACTGCCCTGCAGAGTGGACTTCCCTTCCCTTTGAGATCTGCTAGAAGTGAAAAGGGAGTCCCTGACATCCTAACCTGCTACCCGCAGAGACTCCTGAACTCTGGCCTCCAGAGTATCAGGGATGGGGTGAGGGAGTTAACCCTACTACCCAGGGGCACCCCCACTTACCTGTTACTCATTCCAATTGTCCACACGTCTTGAAGACATCTCAGGAATTCTCTCTGGAAATCACAAATCAGCCATGAGAACTCACCTAAAGATTGCCAGGACCTAAGGCACCCTTCCAGAAATTTCCATTGCTCTAGGGATCTGCTCCACTATTAGCATCAAAACTTAGAACTTGCATTGGTCAGAGGCAGCAGCAGTGGCGGCGGCGGCGGTGGCGGCGGTGGCAGCAGCATCTCTCCTCACTGCTCCCATTTAGAAGAGCCTGGGAATTTCAGGTTTCTGGTTTGGGCAGCCCAGGAAGCAGCAGAACGAAGACGCTGTTCCTATGCTCACACACATCACCCAGCTCAGGAGCACACCACAGATCTCAGCCCCTGGTATGCTCACTTCACTCAGTAGCAACGCCTCCAGGGGTATCGTCTCCTGTCCTGCACTTCAGCAAAGTCCTCTACCTATGAGAACCATCCCTGTAGTCTGTCCCATAAACAACGGAATGGTGACATCATTTACCCCTGCAGATCTAGGCTCTCCCCTCCTCAACCCTGCTTTGGGCCATGAAATTTTGATCTCAGTCGTGGCCTCACAGGCTTCTTAGCCCTCTCACCTCCTCTGGGAATCTGACTGAGGGTTGGGAAGACATCCTGCAGCTGGATGAGGCTGGGCTGAGGCTGGGATGTCAGTCTCCTGTCCTGTTGGTTCGAAGCTTTCAGGGCGGCTGCATCACCTCTAACTCTGTTAGGTGTCCCCTAAGCTCAGGTCTTAAGGGTGCTGTAGTGTTCCTGCCCCTCTGGGCGCTGCACAGTTCTTAGAGACTGCTCCTTGGCACAGTTGACTCCTGTGATCCTGTCCCTCCCCAACTCATCGTCCCTTCACTAAACTCTCCCCGTCCTTCTTCCTGGCTGAGGTGCATGTTTCCTGCCTTTGATTCCGTCTGGTATACCTGATTGTGTCGCTCCTCTCTTTTCCATGGCTTCCTTTTCCAGCGCTTTGCCACCTACAGAAACCACAGTCTAAATCTACACCGTGGAAAGTTCCAGAAAGAAAGAACTTAGTTTCACTAGAAGTGGTGTGAGGAAGCTGCACCCTATCCCCTCATCTAGAGAATGGATCTCCCTCTGTGCAGTGTATCCACTTGGTATATACTATCCATCCTGTTGGAACCCGGTATCCACTCAGTGTACACTATCCGCCCCGTTGGAACCTTGTAGCCATCTGGGTTATCAGATCCATCAACTGTCCTGGTAACTATAATGGCGCATATTGATTACCAGCTTGACAAGACTTAAAGCCAACATGGGAGCACATCTCCAGGGATGTCCAGAAGGACATACTCAGAAATATTTCATTAAGGAGCAAAGACCCATCCTGAATACAGCCTGAAATTTCAGACTGAACAGAGGGAGAGATCAGGCTGAACCCCAGCGTTCATCCCTCTCTGCTTCCTGACTGTATGTGAAGTGTGCCCCGCTGCCTCGGGGTCCTGCAGCTATGACTTCCTACTGCTTCCTGACTGTATGTGAAGTGTGCCCCGCTGCCTTGGGGTCCTGCAGCTATGACTTCTCACTATGATGGACTGAACCTCAGAACTGTGAGCCACAGTGAACACTTTCTTTAGTCACTTTCTCAGAGAGCTTGTCACAGTGCTGGGAAAAGTACCTAACACAGGACCCCGGTGCTTAAGTTCATGGGACCCTTACTCTGCCTGCTAACAACCCCACAGTGATACACTGTCATAGTTATTCATTGTTGTGGTTAACCTCTTGCAGGTCAAATCTGTTAAATGGGCTTTTCTGTAGGTAGTCTGTATGGACAAAGACATAACATATTTAGGGTTTGGCCTTAGAACCCACTGGAGATCCCGGAACACAAGTTCCATGGATAAGGGACGTGTATGTTTTTCTCCTGTTGACAACAGGTGCTACCATCAGAGATACCAGAGAATTCCATCAAATCTAAGTGACATTAGCTAAAACAAAGCCTCTCCAACTGCAACTGGAAACCTCCCTACCTTTGGTCACAGATCTGAGCACATAGCCAGTGAAAACTTTGCAGCAATATAAGGTTTCTATGTGCAATTCCCAAAATGAGTCCAAACCCAAGCACGTGTGGCGTCCTGCCAGCTTATGACTGTGCTGGCGGTGTCTCCTCTTGGGCTGGCTCTGCAGCCAACAGGCTGACCACACACGTGAACTTTGCACAGAGCTCATGCCATGGGATGGGAGCCAACAGTGCCTGAAGCAGCTCTGCCCAGATCTGAGGCCACCGTGTGTTATGAATTGTGTTGTTTTTAACGCACAAAGCTTTCTGCTCTTACAGTAGCATAATCATTTAATTACCAAAACAAGGACTTTGATATTTTCCTACCAGCATTCCTCAGCATATTAAGTATCAAATTAGTATATCTAAGGCTTGGATTGTGTTAAACAGACAGGCATATCCATCTCCTTGGTATGTAAATTTCCCCGCATCTTTAATAAATGAAGAAAACCACATGTATATCAGAGAATGGCCTAAAATTAATTCCCTTATTATTTTATTAGAACTAAAGATTTTATCTGGGTTCCTAAGAAGATACACATTAAAATTTGTATACACATATCTCTGATGTGCCCCCGTGCCTTAAGATTGGCTTCTCACACACATGCTAAGAACCACACCGACGTGAACTCCAGCACGTCACCATGGAGATCCATTCTGACTTGAGATATTAGACTATGGAAACAAATTGTGGTTTGTTCTGAATCGTCTTTCTAAATCAACAGGCGATGTTATGAAAGTGTTCTCTGTGTCCACCCCACCCCCGTCAGTCCCCTCTGTAGCCCAGGTTCTATTCTTCCCTGTTGCTTCTAGATGCTTGAAGAACAAAAAGGCATGACCTCCAGACCTGCAGCCTCCATCAGTGCTCCTGTTTATTGGGATACACTCACTGCCTTCCAAGCATTTCCACTCCTGAGCCCTAGGCAGGATGGAAGAGGACCGGCCCAATGCATAACCCTCCTGTCTCTGCAGCCTGTGCCTGCCCCGGCTCAGTGTCCCAGCCAGGTGACGTTCCTGCAGGGCCAAGCACTCAGAAAAGCAGTATGTGCAGTTCTGGGATGAAGCTCAGATGGCGTGTGTTAGCCTAGCATACTCTGAAAGCCTGGATTCAATCCCCAGCACACATAAACTGGACTTTGTGGCACATGCCTACAGTCTCAACACTCAAGAAGTGGAAGCAGGAGGTTCAGAAGTTCAAGCTCATCCTTGGTAGTTTTGACTAGTCTGGGCTATATGAGACCCTATTAGACAGAGAAGGATAGGAAAACCCGATGCTCGTGAGGGCCACCCTCGCCATGACCTACTGGTGTGGAAATGTTCAGTTTCTTCCAGCTTGCTGCAAAAGGATTTTAAACCCCCTTCCTGGCATTCTATTTACAGGGAGGCTGACAGCCTGGTGTAATCCTCATCTCCTGTCACACTTCATCGAGAGCCGGCACTCAAGAGATAACTTCCTCTCTTCTATATTCACCTCAGTGAAATGAAGGGCTGGCTCCATTTCGACAGCTGTGCGGGAGTCTCCAGTCCTGCCAGCTCCCTGGGCCCCATGGACACCTCCAGTACCAGCTTCCAGAGAGTACAGTGACCATTGTCTCTTTTCAGTATAAAATACAATCCTGGGTAAAATAAAGTTTTTTATTAGAATAGGAGAAAAATGGGAAAGGCTGACAACCAAAAGGGGCAGACAGAACAGGAGACGGAGCGAGGGATGGGGGACTGGGAGAAGCCGATGGGGATTCTGGGAATGCGTTTAGAGTACAGAGGAAGATAAGGAAGCCTAAATCTGCCAGCAGAATGAAGACGGAGCCAGAGGCGCGCCACACTTTTTTTTAAGAATGTAAGGAGTGAGATCATTAAACCAGTCACCAGGGCTTCCCAGAGATAGTGGCAGTCATTTAATGAGAGGCCCAGTGTCGCACAAATCTAAATTAATTCTTTGCTTGACTGTTCCCGAGGAAGGATGAGGAAATGTTTGCCAAAGTAAAAGAGAACCAAAATATTTTTTTTTTACAGAAGCAAAGTGTGTGTGTCTCTGTGTGTGTGTGTATGTGTGTGTGAGTGTGTGTACACACGTCTGTGTGAGTGTGTATGTGTGTGAATGTGTATGTGTGTGTGAGTGTGTGTGAGTGTATGTGTGTGTATGCGCGTGTGTATATGTGTGTGTGTATGTATGTGTGTGTGTCTGTTATAAGCAGAACCTGAGAGAGTACAGAGAACAGTCATGGGGTGGGAAGAGGGGAAGATGACAAAGGGAAATTGACATGATCCACTGGTTTTTTTGGTGGAGTTTGGATTCTTCCTTTGAGATGGAGTCTCACATAACGCAGGCTGGCCTCAAACTCCCTATGTGCTCAGGGACACTGATCTGCCGATCCTCCAGCCTCTGCCTCCGGAGTGCTGGGGTAACAGGTGTGTGCTAGCTCACCCAGCTTGCTCTGGAAGCCAGGGCTTCTTGCTTGCCAGGCAGGCGGTCTGCCCACTGAGGTAAGTACATTCCCAGCTGTAACCCACTTCTTGACATCCAGTGCACCTTCTCTGACAGAAGTAGCCTCTGCAGCCAGCCTGAGGGTCCTGCTCACTCTCCTCAGTCCTATTTCCTGTACCCCTGCTGGCAGTACAGGGTCCCCCTATTCCCTGTACCCCTGCTGGCAGTGTGGGATCCCCCTATTTTCTGTACCCAAGCTGGCAGTACAGGGTCCCCCTATTTCCTATACTCCTGCTGGCAGTACGGGGTCCTCCTATTCCCTGTACCCCTGCTGGCAGTACGGGGTCCCCCTCACTACTCCACAGTGCAGTTTTCCCACACCCCTCCCTGCTTGCTTTTCCCACTTGCAGCTGAACTATCCCAGGGCTGAGGCAGGACGATGGGATGAACGCATGTAACCTGCGCTCACTACACACCCTCCTTCTTCCTTGCTTCTTTCAATGACATCTGAGAAAACATGCTAATTTAGTGCTAATACATCTTTAGCAGCTCCTACGCCTAGTATATCATCACCGTGAACAAAGAAAAGAGCAGGCTGGGCTGAGGGCAGGATGCAGCCCTGTGTGCAGGCTCACTGCCCTTGCGTCTAGGGCAGTGGTTCTCAACATGTGTGTCGAGACCCCTTTGGAGTGGAATGGCCCTTTCACAGGGGTCGCCTAAGGCTATCCTGTCTATCAGATATTTACTTTACTATTCATAACAGTGGCAAAAGTACTTTACAGTTACAAAGTAGCAATGAGAATGATTTTATGGTTGGGGTCACCACAACATGAGGAACTGCATTAAGAGGTCGAAGCATGGGGCTGGAGAGATGGCTCAGTGGTTAAGAGCACTGACTGCACGTCCAGAGGTCCTGAGTTCAAATCCCAGCAACCACATGGTGGCTCACAACCATCTGTAATGAGATCTGATGCCCTCTTCTGGTGTGTCTGAAGACAGCTACAGTGTATTCATTTATAATAAATAAATCTTTAAAAAAAAAAAGAGGTCGAAGCATTGGGGAGGTTGAGAACCCATGCTCTTAGGTGGTCTTCCTTCACAGCAGGAGATGCTGCTGCCTCCTCCACTCCCACCTTTCCATATCCCCACCCCTCCCTTTACCTTCCCACTCTCACATCCCCACCCTCCCCCCACATCCCCACTCCAGCTTGTCTGAGGACAGGTTTCCTTTTGAATGAAGGTGGCTTAGTGGATATTTATGTGAAGAAGACTAGAAAGTAAATCAGGAGTATCATGGTCGGCTTCAACTGTCACCGTGATGCAAACCTAGAGCCACCTGGAAAGAGGGAAACTCAACTGAAGAATTGTTCAGATCAGATTAGCCTGTGAGACATTTTCTTAACTGTTAATTGATGTAGGAGGACCCAGCCCACTGTGGGAGGTGCCATCCCTAGGCAGTGGGGAGGGGGAGCTATGTAAGAGTCAGTAAACCGTGCTCCTCCATGATCTCGGCTTCAATTCCTGCCTCCAGGTTCCTGCCCTGCTTGAGTTCCTGTCCTGACTTCCCTCAGTGATGCTCTGTTACCTGGAAGTATAAGAGGAAATAAACCCTTTCCTCCCCAAGTTGCTTTCAGTAATGGTGTTTAGCACAACAACAGAATCATCAGGGTGAACTGTGGAGAGCAGCAGGGCCCAGCCACCTCACTGACCACCAAGTCTCATCTGTAAAATGAGAAGACACCACCCGTCACGAGCCCTAGGAGCATAACGAGTTGGGGGTCTGGAGGGGGTCAGAGAGCATGGACCTTTGCAGCCCAGAAGGAGGGAAAAAATATCTCAAGAAACCACTGAGCTTGGAACATGTGGCCCAAAATTGAAGTAAACCCAGCAAGTCATGGCTACCCTCAAGGCTGGGATGAAAAAGTGAAGTCGAAAGGATACAGGGTGAAGGATAAGGTTGCTAAGCAACGCATCCTGATACTAGAGTTGGCAGAAATGACCTGGGAACCAGGGCATCTGTAAAATCTCACTCCTGTGCTGCCTCAAGGTCACCTGATCCACCACAGTCACCTTGGGGGAGCGATCTAGAAAACCAGATGGATCCCTGCCCATGGGAGGAAGGACTCAGAATGTCCTGCAGACCAACCCCTCACTGGATCTTGAGTCCTTTTATGGCAGAACTGTGTGGGGCCCAAATGGTTGTACTGTAAGAACCCCAGGCACAACCAAATGATGCTGGTCCCTGGCCATGGATAAACAGACAGCGGACGTTCCCTGCATCCTATGAGTTTTTGAGTTGGATTCTAGCCAATGGCTGACCACCCCACCATCAGCTGCGTGAACTTTGCCAAATTGAAACCTCCATTTGTCAGCTGTTCCCACTGATCGAGGGCAGTGCAAAGCAAGACACGGTGATGTGGGATCTCGACAGGAAGTAAATATTTACCTTGTATAAAACATAGTTCTGGGATCTCAAGACATGACCACAAAATCTAAAGTACTTAGCAAGGCAGAAAGTTTTACTTCCCAGCAGGGTTTCTAGCTGCGCTGCACCAAGCAAGCAAGCATCCTAACAAAAGAGTGCCCTGCCTCACTCTGAGTGGTCAGAGCTCAGCTTACATTCTCACGTGATTGGCTAATGCAGAGCGGAGCGGTTTCTAGGGAAAGTTGAAACCAGCATATATTTTGATTTCAAAAAGCGCTGACCATAGAAGAATTTGAATTTCTGCCCAGTGGCTTCTTTACAGTTTTTAGGGAGTTTTGTCTTATTTAACCCTTCGATAGAAAAGATAGCACGTTTTGTTTACATTTCCCACGCTTTAAAATAAGCTTCTCTGTAGCCCGTGACTTCTCCCTGAACCCTGTATGAAATAACCCTTTACTGGAACATTTTAGCACTTGGGCCAAAATCTCTCTTTTAGTTTTGTCCCATAGAGTTGAGTTTTTCTGCAATTTAGCTAAAGAAATTGAAACAAACATAGGAAGTCATGGCTACCCTCGAGGCTGAGATGAAAAGGTGAAGTCGGAAGGATACAGGGTGAAGGAATTCAGCTGAGTTATAAGACCAGGTGAGACCAACCAGTTACCCTCCCAATTCAACAGCTAAGAAAGCTGAGAGTCTTTCCAGGTTATCAACCTGCTGTTCCTGACCTTTCCAGCCAATGAGCACAGCAAAAGGTCACTGCCCATACCTGATTGGGCCACAAGGCATCCTGGGAAATGTAGTCTTTATGCTAGGCTACTGAGCCACCACAGTGGGGGGCAAAGAGGCTGCCTCTGAGGAAAGCTCAGGCCCCGGGACAGAATGAGGATCAGCAAGTGGGGGATGTCCTGTGCTCTATGATGGATATGTGGTCCATGGCACTTGCTTACAGTCACAGTGTCTCTGAATCAGCTATAAGGGTGAGGAGAGAATAATCGAGAAAATAGTCATTGTAGTTCTGGAAATCAAATTACTAGAGCTTCAGAGACTGTCACAGTTCAAACAAAATGGAGGAGCTTTACAAAATGGTCTGACCCCGGCTAACAGCGTGGAAGCTCCATACCAGTGTGACAGTGCATGCTGACCACACTGGCCTGTCAAGGTCTTCCATGGTGGGATCAAGCGTTTGCATACGGGCAGGTGAAGGGGGTTAAGGCCACACCCAAGCAACCATGGAGTCAACATCCTGGAACAGAGGGAGCCTGAGGTCTTCCTCTGTCATGCTGGAGCCTCCTACTCATGCATCTGCAATACTGCTGAGCTGAAGGGGTCCTGGGCAGCCACTCACGGTGTAATGAGTCTCCAGCCTCTGCAGGAAGTGCTAACCTAGTCTGCCTTGCTGTCTGCCACCTGCTAAAAATATACCTCGCCTCCATCCACAGGTGCAGCCATCAGGAGGCCGGGCTGGTTTTAGCACTGGGGAAGCGGGAGACAACTGACAGAATTCTAGATTCATAACCTGTCTGGCTACATGGGAATTTGTTTCCAGTCAGGCCAATGCGTAGACCATGTGCATTTCCCCAAAGCTCCTCCCCTGAGTCTCCTGTCTCAGGATATAGTAACCTCCACTTTCTGGAAACCAGCCTCCAATGACGTTTCAGGATATAGGTGGGATACAGCCACTGTTCACTAGAATATTACACAGGTGACCTCTAACCCATTCCTCGCAGACCTGGCCCCA